TACATATTTGTTTCTTTTTTGAAAAGTATATAAAGAAGGTGTAATTTAGTGTAAGTTTAAAATTAAGTGCCAAGCGAACAGACGGTTATTTAACCATTGTTTCATAAAGTGTAATTTTTGACCTGTGAATGTATATAACAATATGTTGTAAATAAAGCCCTTATTCATTTCATTTCATATTGTGTTATGTGTTATTTGAGTTTAAAATATGACGGTTACAAAATTAAATAAGTTATTGAAGTATATTAGACTTATCTCAGATTTACTAACTACGATAAAATTAGTAAAATTTTATCTTTTCCATCTATCGGTGTTTTGTGAGCGAGCTTAAAATTCAAACGGAATTAAATCATGTTTCGTGTTATGGAACTTGAATACAATAGCAGTAATATAACCTATTCATAAATTAATTTCAGCTGTAAATAAATCACCCTTTAATACGTAATTTTTTAATTCAATCAATTTGCGAAAGTCACACACTAGGCCAGTCATATAGTACATTAAAATCGCAAACTATCGGCTAGTTCTGATTTTTTAATATGTTGTTAGGACCACTACCAGTAGTATATATCCAAGTTTGCAGCTTCGAAAGACCTGTGCTAAAAGCGTAGCACTCGAAAAACCATCTAATTTTAGCATTTTTTTAGTTTTCTTCTCTATATCTCTTAAAATATGGGACTTGCATAAAACATGTTAATTACATTTTTAAAGTGCATTAAATTTCCTAAAATTTGAGACCAAAACCAGCTCTGTAGATACAGTAGTTATTAAGATACAGCCCTCCAAAAATTGGAGATTTTTTTCTAAAAAGTAACATTTTAAGGTTTGATCAACTTGGACGCGTTTTAATAGTGATTGATTGGATTTATATTATAATTCATAAACATGTTGAGTTGAGTTTTATTTCTCATTTTCCAGTAATGCTTACTGAAAGGAGAGGTCGGTGGGGGGAATTGAGGTTTAGGGTGAAACAAGAGATAGCGGGTGAAGCGGCCAGTTGTGCAAATATAAAATGAATATTTCATGGGACTCATTGAAGAGTTGAAAGCAGCTGATCGAAATCTGGATTCCACATCAGTATTTATAGCATGAACGTTTTTGAAAAATATCCAAATAAATATAATTCAACGATTGGATATGTAGCTTTTACTATTCTCTAACATCTTTTGCAGGAGAAAGTTTTTAATGCGTAGTAAAATAAAGATTGTTTATTGTTGTATCCATTCGATTGTACTATTTATTAAAAGTCCATAATGTACAATAGGTTCACGATCAAATTTAGCTGTAAGGGATACATTGATACATAAAATCTGCTAAAATTATGTCATTATTATATAAAGCAACTAAGGGTCGTTGGACACATTGAATAAAATGCACAAAAGAATTACAATAACATGAGCAATAAGTTGTATTTATTTGTCATTTCAAGAATATAAAAGTTGGATAATTCGATAAAAAAATAATTAGTCCACTTAGCTATGCTAGTTTTCCTAAATACTACACGGTATAACATTTTAGGAATCATTTTAAATATGCCCTAAGACCTAGTTTATTGTTAAATAACCTCGAAATTATAGAATGAGACGTTCTAATATATAAGGATTTCTATTTAATAAAAATTAAAATATTAATCCATAAATCTTTTGAATAAATTATTTTGCTACAAAAGTATAATACATTTTACTGTAACCACGCCATTATTTTGCAGCAACAAACTCCATATTTTATACGCAAGCTTATAGCGTATAATAACGTTAATGCGTGCCATATCAAAGTCATAAATTTTCGCGGTGACAGAAAACACCGTAAATCAAGTTTATGCTTATTTACGTCGTAAAAGGAAATTTGGTTTTATGACATTAATACCTGGTAGGTAACAAAATCAAGTACATTTCAATTAATCTTAACCACGTCTGCTTATCCTGATATGGACACGTGGTTTCCCACGAATTCTAGCTTTAAATATGTTATACAGATGTTATATTTAAACATTGTGTGCATAAAAACTAAATTAGTAAGTTTAAATCCTTGGACTTAAACAATTTTCTAAGAATGTTTCTAAAGACTTAAAAGGGTTTTGCTAGCCTAATGGTTAGCGTCTCGGACTATGGTTCGGGAGAAACGGGTTCGATTCCCTACACATCCACATCTATGAGGGTTTGGAGCGCTTTTCCAAGAGTTTGAATAACACTGTATGTTTCATCTGTACTAGAAAATGCAACCAGCGTATACATGAACAGGAAAAAATTAAAACACATGCAATGGGTTTGTACAGTAAAACATGAATATTAACGCTTGTATGTGTGTATTGATCGTTATAACTTTCCAGAGTGAACTGAAAACACCCGCTTTAAATTAACCTTGTGTTAATTATGGATGACTGTTAACCAGCCTGTAAAGTAAACGCTAATTTCAAAACTGAAACGTTTAATCAGGTTAGTGTAATATTGTAGTGCATTTGGACACAAACATCAGTTAGACATAAGTGGTACCTGCAAGTCTATATAATGTGAGTGTTACTTACGTTGTTTTCATGATAACGTGAGCCAACGTCAAAGGTAAATGCTAATCATTAGATAGGATTAATCAGCTTATAGGTAGAGTGACATTGTAGAGGATTTGCACACAAACATCACCTAGACATGTGTAGAACGAAACCACAACTGTACGTCTATATAGCACCAGTGTTAGCCTACGTTGTGTTTATGATAACGTGAGCTAACATCAAACTTAAACACCAATCAGAGAATAGGATTGTTTAAAAAGCTTAGGTAGAGTGACATTGTAGAGGATTTGGACACAAACATCACCTAGTACGAAAACACACATGTACGTTTATAGCACCAGTGTTAACCTACGTTGTGTTCATGATAATGTGGGCCAACGTCAAACGTAAACACTTATCCTAGAATAGAATCGCTTAATCAGCTTAGGTAGAGTGACATTGTAGAGGATTTGGACACAAACACTAGCTAGACATGTACGAAACCACACCTGTACGTCTATAGCACCAGTTTAACCAACGTTGTGTTCATGATAACGTGAGCCAACGTCAAACGTAAACGCTCATCCTAGAATAGGATTAATCAGCTTAGGTAGAGTGACATTGTACAGGAATTTGACTCAAACATCACCTAGACAAGTGTAGTACGAAACCACACCTGTACGTCTATAGCACCAGTGTTAACCAACGTTGTGTTCATGATAACGTGAGCCAACGACAAACGTAGTAAGCAATTATCCTAGAATAGAATCGTTTAATCAGCTTAGGTAAAGTGACATTGTACAGGATTTGCAAAGAAACATCAGCTGGACGACGAGCTCAGTGTGTGCCAAAGTACAGTAGATTCTCAGGTCGCTACGACACTAGTGCGAACCGGTACAAATCTGAAGCTAATGAACACAAGTTCACAATGATCCCTAGTAGCCCAGGCAAATTAGACATATGCTCCCCAAAAAATCGTCTAAAGCTGGAAAGTGTTTTAATACCTTTTGGGGGTCCCAAATAAGATTCCTGTGAGTTTGCGACGGATTCTGACGTCTGCTTAAGTTTTGGGAGTCGAAAAACTATGAAAATTTTACACTTTTTTCAGTTTTTCGCTTATAACTCCTAAATAACGAATCTTACGGAAAATGTTGTCCAAAGGTCTCTTTTAATGCATTAAATTCTGCGGCGATTGATGTTAAATACGTCAAATTCGGCCGAGCCGTTTAGCTGCTGTAGCTTTTTAAAGTTAGGTCATTTTCATCAATATGGCCAAAAAGTTGATTATTTGACCAGTTTTCGGCTTACAACTCCTAATCGACGCTTGCTATACAAAAATGCACCTGTAGTTATAATCTGGCTGAAATATTTAGGCGGTTTAAGGGGAAGAACTCTTATCCCCTCCACTAGAACTGACCAAGACAGCTGTTTGCTGTTATGTATAAGACGTAAACAAACCACTTCTATTTTTCATTTTTACCTAATTCATACAGGCCTTATACATGGTTGGAATTAGACGTTTTTTGATTGGAAAAGGCTGATTTTCAAATTATATCCTGGGGGCCTAGGAAGTATTCCATACTAAAATTTCTAAATTTAGGCACTGAAATCTGTGTTTGTAGCTATTATATGTGACGCGAAAAATGTTATCAAATTCGTCTTGATTTAAAAGTTTGTTTAGTATAGCATACACAGTTAAGAAAACCATAAAAAAAACTAACTAAATTACTGTAACACTTAAAAAATATAGCTCTTTTTATAACAAAATATAGGTTAAATATACAGATAAATAACCTGAACTTGAATTTAACAAATAAATAAATGGACGCAATGACGCCTATCACAAACGTCCAGTACGCAAAAGGAGTCCGTGACGTACTAGGTTTCTGACGGAGCATTTTTCTCCCAGTGACTAGATCACTGAGTAACTAAAGACTTATAGAGATCCATCACCATTAAAAAAAGTTGTTATTTATTCTTTTTACCTGCTCGACAGAAAATTGGATATATATCCACTTTTCTATTTTCAATCGAGCTATAATCACCTATAAACACCACTATACAACCAATAACGATCTCAAAGGTTCATTTCTGCTCATGGATTGGAAAAGTGAGCCCGTGGACTTACGTATTTATAAGTGAGCGAATCAGTGTTACGTTTTCAAAAGATCGCTTTGAAAGCGATCCCGCAGATTTGTTACAGCGAGTCTGTGGACTCGTGGTGACATTTTTTCGGCGTTGTAAACTGCTCAATTTGAGCAATATTAAAAAAATAAAATTAAAAGATCAAAAGGTTACAGCTCAAATTTAAAAGCTATCAAAGCTAAATTAGAATAATATTTTCATTAGCAGTATTAAAAATAATTTAATTAAAATAGTAACTAAACAAAATAATTAATTTCTAATATAACATTATTAGTCATTAAAGTCGTTGATGTTGGTATATTATAACAACATTTACATTATTATTCTACAATCAATATTAACCCTTTGATTGCCACGGTTTTCAATATTGTTAGAATTCGATTCCGTCTGTGCTCTCCATATCAATGTCATCGGTACTGTCGCTGTCAGTTGTGTCGTTCTGGAGATCAACTACGATACGCTGGAAGTTGTCATCACGGATGCCTATTTCCTTTAAAAAGTCCTCTTTCTGAATATTCTCACTGTGTCGCACGCAGTTTTTCCAATCTTCAACGGTAACACGTTTAATAGACTCTTCCAGTAAATTTCTCACATCTTTAATCTTAAAAGTTTTGTTTTGCTCTGCCACCTCCCCTTTCACCTGTGACCAAATCAATTCTATAGGGTTGTACTGACAATGGTACGGTGGAAGTCTTACCACTTCATGCCCCATCCACAGAGCAATGTCATCGATTTCGAATCTTTTATATTCCTTTCTGTGACTTCTGACGATGTTTAATAATTCTCTGACAGTGTGTCTCGGGTTGTGAGGTATCCCTTTGCTGGTTAGCCATTCTGTAATGTCCTTTTTTTTAGTCTTTGAAGAGGGAATTTTTTCTTTCAGTTTTGAGTGATAGCTGGCATTGTCCATAACAACAATACACCCCTCATCTAAGAGTTTCAACATATCTACAAACCATTCTGTGAAAACTTCGTGGTTCATTTCCTTGTGGTAGTCACCTGTACATTTGGACTGAAACACCAGCTCAGCTCCTTCAATGAAACCGTGCTTTGCTGATCCGGCGTGAACAATGATAATCTCGAACCTTTACCGATTGGGACACGCAAACCACCTTCGTTTGACGAATGTTGCCAAATGTATTTCTTTGAATGATTTTGGTTAATCCAGGTTTCATCCAGGTAAACTATAGGCCGCTGTAGTGGATCTTCTCTTAAGTCATGCATTTTTCGGAGGAATTCTAATTTTGCTGTTACTATGTCGTCTCTTTCCATTAAAAAACGCCTACCATCATTACACTTCTTAAATGTGAACCCACATTTTTTAAAAACCTTCCACATAGAGTCTCGCCCCCCTCTAAACCCGATTTTATCTCTTAAAACATTCTTCAGTTTATCACAGGTCACATATTCTCCTCGATCATAGAACTCTAACACAGTACGTCGCACGACATCTCTGTCAAAGCCGTCAAGGCCTGTAATCCACTTTTTATGAGGCTTCTTTTTTGTAGATGATAGAAATTGGTTCCTACAATTAGTATGTATAGGATTTTTGTTTCCTTCTGCGGTAATTCTTTGAATACTTCGAAGTGACAATGAGCATGCATCTGCAGTAGCTTGTTGTGTATTTGAGAATAATTCCAATACTGTAACATTTGGATGGGTCTTAACTATATCCTTTAGGTTTTGATAAACACTAAACACTATTTTTTTAGTCTGTACTGAAATATCTGGAGCTTTAGTTGCCATTTCAAATCACACTGTATTACTTAAGTATACAGAAACCAAACCACATAGTAAACAAAAACATCAACAAATGATTACTCATTTGTTTTGACATTTGCTAACAAAGCGTTATCAGCTGGAGAGGCTATTAGACAAATAAGTGGAGAGGGGGATATATGTAAAATTCCCCTTAAACCGCCTAAATATTTCAGCCAGATTATAGTTTGGAAAACACAAAATTCTGCGTAATGTGTTTTTTTTTCTAATCAATAATGGTAATTGATTGCAACCTACTTTGTATGGTCGCCATTTCATTGAAAAAAAATTTAAAGTTAAAGTTGGAAAATTTTACTAAAATTAATACTTAATATTATTATTTTTTTTTCTATGAAATGGCGACCATACAAAGTAGGTAGCAATCAATTGCCATTATTGATTAGTAAAAAAAACACATTACGCAGAATGTTGTCTTTTCCAAACTAACTACAGATGCATTTTTGTATAGCAAGCGTCGATTAGGAGTTGTAAGCCGAAAACTGGTCAAATAATCAACTTTTTGGCCATATTGATGAAAATGACCTAACTTTAAAAAGCTACAGCGGCTAAACGGCACGGCCGATTTTGACGTATTTAACATCAATCGACGCAAACTTTAATGCACTAAAAGAGACCTTCGGACAACATTTTCCGTAGGATTCGTTATTTAGGAGTTATAAGCGAAAAACTGAAAAAAGTGCAAGATTTTCATAGTTTTTCGACTCCCAAAACTTAAGCAGACGTCAGAATCCGTCGCAAACTCACAGAACTCTTATTTGGGACCCCCAAAAGGTATGAAAACACTTTCCAGCTTTAGACGATTTTTTGGGGAGCACTCCCTATAATTTGATCTAATTTGCCTGGACTATAGCCTGAAAAGCTAAATTATTTCATTATATTATTATGTTTCATTCATTCATTCATTTCATTCAGTTTCATTCATTATATTATTATTATTATTAAAATAAATTATTTCAGTGCAATTCAATATGAGTCATCCTTGGTTTTCAGCTTACCGTTAATATTATGGTTTCAAAATTAAACCATATCAAATAAAATATAAACTTGTTACTACTACTACACATCAGTAGATGGACAGGCATTAACTTGTTTACTTAAAAAATCAAGTGGTGATTACTAACCCAGACTTATAAGAATTTGTATTTTTGATAATATTTTGTAGCTACACAAGTAGTAGCTATAAACAGTTAACTAGCTTATAAAAATGGAAGAACAGATTTTCAACCAGGACTAAAATGTGTATGCAGCTGAACAATTTAAACTATCTAAGTTGATTTAATTATTCTAAATACAAATTATGCAATATTACCTATACAAGTATGAGTTATTAGTTATACAAAACATTAAGTGTGGAAAAATGCAGCAAGCTAATAACGAATTATCTGAATGGACAGACCTTTTTAATCTTGGAGATAAGCAACATCCCGCATTCATAATTGACCTGTATATTTTGCAAGTCATTGTATGGTTTTGCTTTTAATTTTCAACTAAACCACTTTACAAAAACTGTAGGCTTCATTATAGTATTTTGCAACTGTTGTTGTGAAAACAGTTTAAAATTTGATAAAACTGAGAAACACTAAGTACATGGGGCTTTGAATACTTGGTACAAATACAGTTTAAAACTTACCGGTTTAAAGGTTGGTAAGATAATCTTAGACTAGAAATATAAAAGATGAAATTTTCCGATAATTTAAGTTTCGTCATTGATGTCCCTTCGTTGCTATTTTAAGTACTACATTGACGATTTCTGGTCTTCCTTAATGAATTATTTTAGTGTAATTTAATAACAGTATGTTTATACAACTTTTGATAACAAGAAAAGAACGAATACCTTAATCACAATAACAACTTGCAATAGATTGCTTTAACTGAATTATTTATCGGGTAAGTTTCTAGATGCCTAGCAAGCTTGAATGTCACAATAGTTAAAGGCTTAACGGTTATAGCCTCACAAAAAACCATTACGTCATTAAACCGCAGAAAACCACAAACGACATTATCAGTGGAATTCGTTAGCGCGATTAAACCTTTAAGGTAATGGGCAAAATAAAATGGCGAAATAACTTGCGATCATGTGGCGGTTTTAAAATAGGCTGAATAGAAGCTTCGTCGACGACGCCATTAAACCCAGCAGACGACATAAACTGAGTGATAACATGGCAGATAACAGCTGATGGCGGGAGAAAATGCCTCCAATATGAATCGTTGTGAAATGTACACTAAAAATTTTGACGGAAGAATTTATCACCAAACATGTGATAATTCGTATTTGTCAAATTAATTGAGAAGAAAAGTTCTTTAGGTTATTGATTTTGCAGGTGTATTTAGATTATAGTAACCACGTACATTTTTAAATATATTTTCATTGCTTTATCCAACTTTTCGTTTCTATAAATTAACTAGAAACAGATTTTATTTATTGAGTGTCAGAAGTATTTAATAATACGCTTTGGTTTATTATAATAATTTAAATTTGAAAATGCCTTATTAATAAGAATAGGCTAACATGAAGGACTAAATGGCCGTATACCTTAATAGAACAAGTTGTCAAGGATAAAATACAAATGCACAAATGACTTTATTTGTGCTAATTTCAATTGCATAGTACGTTTTAAATGTTAACCGTAGTTTCAAATGAATAAATATCACATAACCTAGTACATATAAATAAACTGCTTAACTGTTCATTAACTTCCTTAACCTTTTTTAGTAATACACAATAATAAAGCACCACACCCAAACTCTTCCCAACTTGGCTCAAGTTAGAAACTGGTTATTATTTTTAAACAAGGAACCTTGAGGTGCTGACTCAGTTCCGATAAGGAACAGACTTTAATTACAAGAGGCTGACAAGACGAACTTCCGACAACAATGGTTAATTAAGCAGCCAGTGTTTTGGCGAGACAACCACTAACACGATAAGGCGATTTTTATCCAATAGAATCATCTTAATAATGGCTGAGGAACTAAAAGTTAGAACATTTCTTTTGTTAAACTAAATGAAAATTTTTTATACAGGCTTACGGAAACATGTTACTGATTATCTTAAAACGATAGAACTATATTCCTCAGGGGTTAAGTGTCAATGTTTTGAGTCTTTCCTGTTAAATGTATTTGATAAAAAATTAATATAACATTGTAATTTTATAAAAAATTCTATGTAACATATATTACTGTAAACATTAGAGTAACTATGCTGAACACTGCAATAATTGTCAGAAGCATTGGATGAAATTAAATAAAAAATTTATATATTCTTGAGCCCCATAAACCATAGGTCACTACTATGGATTATCTAAAAACTGTCTCCAACATGAGCGGCCTATTTGTTTCTTGTTATTTTATCTTGTACGGATATTCATATTATATTCGAGGAGATTATGATTTAAGTTTTTTATTAATTATGTTAATGCTAGAAATAAGTCTCTGCATGAAACAAACGTAGAACCTCGTTAGGAAACCGTTTATTGAACAACCTTGATTCATTGTACTAAATTGCAATACCCAAGTCTTCAATAAGATGTAGTTTAATAACATTAACCCATATAAAATATCATTTCTTAGCAGATTTCAGAATCGCATGTTTAAAAGATTAATACCCCCGCCGCAGCAAACCTGCAGACTAAGCGAATTTCCATTTGACTGATTGGATTTACACTGAAATGTCTACTTAAAAATATAACATTTATTCTTGATTTAAATAGAATTAGTTTAACAAGTACTTAGGTTTGCTGCATCAGGGAGGGTAAAACAGTTTTTTTTTTTTTTTTTTTTTTGTAAAATGTGAATAGTTAGTAAGAAAAAAAAACATTTTCCAAATTTGATCAAAATATGCTCACAAACAAAAAAACTACAACAGTTTACTTATTCTCCATAAGAATAACATGGGAATTTTAAATTTACAATTTTTTGGAATTTTCTCCGTAACCATTAGGGGCATAATAACGCTTCAAAATACTAAATTTTTTGTTTTTTAAGCTCTACAAAATGGTTTGGAAAGAAATTGCAAAATTTTATGTTTTTTGGGTCAAAAATGGGAAAACCCTATTTTTACCCCATAAAACCCCCCGTAAACCCCCGTTCCCATGGTCCGATCATGCTGGATCGCGAACTCGTTCGAATAAACGTACGTTTACACGTTTGTACCAAATTTCATCAAAATCGGATCATTTTTGCTCGAGTTATAGTGCTGACGGACACATATATATATATATATATATATATATATATATATATATATATGAATTTGAACGGATGGTGTTTTTGGCCTCTAGGGACCTCAAAACGAAAAAAAAAATCGGTCCCGCGTCCAGGTCTTACCATGAGTACTATGGTAATAGCTTATTCCCTATATGGGAAATTCGCTAAAAATAAATTAACGTCTAAAAGGTGCAAAGTTTCTAAAGTATATGTAAACATGTTGAACATATATTTTATATATAAACTTAAAATTTTTAATTAATGATGCGAAAACCAAAATTGGAATTATTTATTTATTAAAAAATCTTCAACTTTGTCATCTATTAAGATTTTACTTGGCATCTTCAAGCTTGAAACAACCAGAAAACGACAAGTTTTCGATTTTGTAGTATAGGTTAATTTTTTATACTTACAAAAATATTATTATATAATAGGTAGTTAATAAATAAAACTATTCAAATACTACACATA